GGGGTTATATTCGGGGGACTTATAATCGGAGGTTTACAATACTTAAATTACCGGCCATATGAAGGTTGAAAGTTATAAATTAGCAGAAACTGACATGTTGAATTAGCAGAATTGAGAATACACGGACGAAATAAAAGCAAAAAAGGATTGACTTACCAAATCGGTGTAATTCTTCTTGCAAACTATACAGACAGGAGGTAACACGTGCTCGTTCCTTGATCTAGTAGCACTAGTGGACGCCGCTAAACTTGATCGGAAAACTTTGTTCGGGACAGGATCACTACTGCCTTGGTCAACCGATGCCGATGGGATTTGATCTCTTTTTCAGCTTTTTTGCGCCTTGCTTCAGCATGATTTAATAGGGTTTTATTGGTAAATGCTGCATGAATAGCATTTGCGATGAAACGCCAACTCTTTAAAATTTTCATAGCGATCTTCTTCCTCAATGCTTATAATTTGAGTTGTACGTAATGCTATGTCTTTCTGACGGCCGTCAAGTTGTATCCATTGCTTCCGGCATTCCAGAAATCTTTCGAATGAAACCTCTGTAAAATTTGTAAGTGGCCCGACACTGTCTTCGCAATAAATTAAACATGTATTTCCCAATTCTGCCATGTTCAGTCGGCCATGACAAAACCCTCTTTGTTAAGAGGAGATTTTTTTGTATGCGTACAATATACCACTTGAGGTTATGACTAAATTTAGTGCTTTATCTGTAACATAATGCTAAAATGAAGAGATTTTAGATGATACGCCGAAGAGAAAATTATGTCTGAAGTTCAGTAAGTTTTGCAGTTATATGGCTGTAAATATGGCGTCAATTTTAAAGCATCATTGATAATTTATTTTACTTGACAATTTTTAACTATTATTTTATGTTTCTCAACTGGCAGACGCATTTAAAAAGGTAGCTAACTCTATAAACTAGAGAATAAAGCTAAAACAAAGTAATTTTGAGAGGAACGCCAAAAAGATTTTAGGTTTTGAACACTTTTCATTGCAAATACATGACATTGAAAAAAATTGCCTCTTAATATTATTACATAAAGTTTCTAATAGTGAGCACCTTTTCAATGCATCTTACATCAAGTTTCCAGGGAAACAAAATGGCGGGTTTCGAATTTCGAGGAGCGCCAATTGTTGAAATTCAAACGCAAATTTATGAAAAACTGCAGGTTTATAGAAGTGCCAACAAGCAGAATTTTGAAAGGTGCGTAAGAATCTATATATTCTGTGATTTTGACGTAGTCTCCGAATGTGTCCAACGAAAATTGTTTTCTAAGCGACTTTTTGGCCTTGGGAATACGGACTATAATTAGCTGTGAAATAATTGTTAAATATTTCGGGTAGATTTTCTGAATGATTATATCGAAACATAAATATACTGGTGAGGTAGCAATTTATTTGTTCAATGCTTAATATTTCTAGATCTCTAAAAATTGGTTCTGTGTGTTCGAAATAAGAATTAAATGTTATTAGTCTCATTATCTTTTTTTGGATGCTTACTAACCTTTGAATTCTTGTTTTGTATGTGTTACCCCATATTAAGTTGCAATAAATCAGATATGGATAGACTAAGGCATAGTATAGTAGCTTTCGAGCATTCATATTTATATAATGTCTACTTTTAGATATTATTGCTGTAGATTTCATGATTTTCGTGTGAATCATATCTAAATGATGACTCCATGTTAAGTGTTCGTCAATGATCACACCCAGAAATGTAGTTGTTTTAGCTTGTTCAATATTTTCATTGTTTAACAAAATTGTTGTATCATAGTTTTGTTTTTTCTTTGACGACCTAAAAACAATAAACTTTCAATAAATATCTCAAAAACAAAGTTTATTGACATTTAGCCAATTTGAAATTTTGTCTAATTCTAATTGAATAGTTTCATTGAGCGTTTTAAGACACTTATGACTGTAAGAAATAGTTGTATCATCCGCAAATAATATAATCGAAATTAATTTACTACAGTTTTGAATGTCATTAATGTATAGTAAAAACAGGAGTGGCCCTAATATTGAACCCTGGGGGATTGTCATTTCTTCTGATTTGGTTTGATTGTATTTTACAATTTGTTTTCTGTTACTTAGGTAATTTTTGAACCACTTTTGACATGTTCCTCTTATTCCATAGTGCTCTAACTTATTAATCAAAATCTGGTGATTAATAGTATCAAATGCTTTGGATAGGTCAAGAAAAATACCAATAGTGTATTTCCCCCCATCTATCGCTGTAGTTATTTTGTCAACAAGCTCAATTAGTGCATGTTCTGTAGATCGATTTTTTCTAAATCCATATTGATGTCTTGATAAGATTTTGTGGGTTTCAATGAATCGTTTGTAAGTGAGTTTTTCTAATAATTTTGAGAGACAGCTAAGGACTGAAATTGGTCGGTAATTTCCAAATTTATTACTTTCATTTGCTTTGAAAATTGGTGTAACTAAGGAAATCTTTAATTTGTCAGGAATAATTCCTGTTATAAATGTTGAGTTGTATATATGTGTCAAAGGTTTAGAAATTTCTTTTGCACATAGTATGATTGGTTTAATAGAAATTCCATCATAACCAGGGCATTTGTTTGGATTCATATTTCTGATCTCATTTTCTAGTTCAGTTTCTGTAATTGGATCGAAAAACATAGTATTTTTGTTTTTATTTTCCATGTAGTTGTTGAAAGTAGCGTTAGTTGTATTTTTAATTTTGCTTGCTACTTTTGGTCCAATGTTAATAAAATATTCATTAAAAGTATTAGCTATTTCATTTGGATCAATTATCTTTTTGGAAGAATCTTCCATAATGAACTCTCTTGGCAGTTCTTTAGTTTTTTGTTTCCTATTAAGAACATTGTTTAAAGTCTTCCAAATCACTTTAGAATTGTTTTTGTATCTAATTAATTGTTCTTCATAATATAATCTCTTTGATAATTGTATTATATGATTTAATTTATTTTTGTATCTCTTATATGTTTTTTCTTTTTTTCTACTTGGATTTTTCAAACATGTTTTGTATAGTTTGTTTTTCCTTTTTACCGATTTTAGTATACAATTTGTCATCCATGGACTCTTTTCTTTATCGATATTTTTCTTGATTATTTTTTGTGGAAAATTTGTTTCAAAGGCCATCATGAACAATTTCGAGAACTCATTGAAGGCATCATCAGGGTTATTGTTATTAGTGAGAATTTTTGTCCAAGATGTATTTTTCATGGCATTGATGAAAGATTTTATATTTTTATCATTACATGTTCTCTTATAGTTAACATTATTTTGAGGTAATTTCGGAGTTTCTTTGTAATTGTTCATATTACAAACATGTACAATAGGTAAATGGTCTGAGATATCGGTAAATATTATTCCATTCATACTATTATTGATTTTTTCAGTGTTATTGGTATAGATATTGTCAATAAGTGTTGCTGTATGAGCAGTAATTCGTGTTGGTTTTGTTATAAGTGGAAAAAATGAAGAAGTAAAGAGTTGTTCAATAAATCTATTTATATAATCACAAGTTTCTGATTTGAGCAAGTCAGTGTTAAAATCCCCCATAAGGTAGCAAATTTTGTTTTCTCTTCCAATCTTGCTTAATATATTATTGATTGCATTCTCAAATGATTCAATTTTGTTGTTGGGTGGTCTGTAAATCACTCCTATAATCAAGTTTTTACTGTTTGGTTTACTTATTTCGATAAACATCGTCTCAATTGAATCTTCTATATTTTCATTTAGGTCTTTACGGGTTTTATACTGTATGTCATTTGAAATATACATTCCTACTCCCCCGCCTTTTCTGTTTGTTCTGTTAGATCCTATAAAATTATATTCGTTAAGTTCAAAGTTCTCACAATTTATGTCATTCAGCCAAGTTTCTGTCAGACCTATTATCTGAAATTGCTTATCCAACGAATCAAGTAAATGTTTAAAAGCGTCAAATTTATTAGATATACTTCTTATATTTAGATGGAGCAAACTAAACTCAGATTCCTGTTTTAAACATGATAATTTACTCTTAAAATCCATCGGCAAAAGATATTTACAGACGATGTTATTAATGTCAAATAATGAATCTAAGTCATCATTGTTTCCGGACAACGCAATTTTGCTATTAGTTTGGAACGGGTTAAATTTCAAATGACTCAGTCTATCCATATCATAAATGTTGCAATCATCGTTTTGTGTTTTAAAATCATTATTTGTAAGACTGTGAAAAGGAAAGGGATGATTATTATATGTGTTTTCTATATTAGTCATTGTAGTTACTATAATTGTATACCAAAGGGAATTATATTATAACGCACAAATAGTATATAAATAAGGATACAAAGTCCAATGAAATACGATACTTTGTATTAGCATCATGTTGTCGACTTGTAAAAAATCTGACCCTCAATAATAAGTTTGTCCTTAACCAGTTTCGCCTTTTTACCCGCATCTCTTGCCTTCTTTAGTTCTGGATATAACTCCTTGCGTATTTTCAGAATCTCATCAGGAAACTGTTCACAATCGGATCCTGAATCTCGTTCTCGTTCTCGTTCATCGGATCCTGAATCATCGGATCCTGAATCTCCAACTTCTGTAACTTTTTCCAACATCTCTTCCTTCGGTTGACCTTTAAACGTTAATTCAACTTGGTTGTTATAATGAAATAAATTGCTCGAATTTGAACCCCCTCTTTGTCGGCGCTTTGGAAGCATTTTGCCCCTTTAAAGCGAGCTTTTGTACAAGGATTTTTTGTAGAATATCTGTGAACTAGACAAGCTAGTACCCTCTAGTATAAATAAATAGAGTCCCGAGTTTAGGTTTTGTCAGGTATAGTTACAATGGACCAATATATATATATGGACCAATATAGCAATGTTTGCAACCAATATAGCAATAGGAATGTGACTCTTCACAGGACCCAACGTACTCAAATAAGGTTTTATCCTTTCTGGGTTATACACAAATTTCCTGATAGTGTAATAAACATGAAAATTCATGACACTAGTGATAACAGGATATGCTTCATCGGTAAAAGTCATATGATCGGTGGTAATCCCACTAAGATGTGTTGCAATGTAAGCTCCACAGAGTGCAACAAAGTATGGCTTTTTATAGTCGAATTTTACATCAACATTCTTAATGGTAATAAAGCTTGCTACACTAGGAAGAAGGGATCCACCTGCACCACCAGTAGTAGTAAAAAGTTTGTAGCATCAACATACACCTTAAAAATGTTAACATCCTTAGGCCATCTTATTCTAGGAAAATAACTATGACCATCAATTGTATCATCAGGATTAATTCCATATCCACTTCCCCTTCCTGAAGACCACATTGCAGGCCACCTAACACCTTCACCTTTAGTTATTACTTCTAGTGGAGGCTGATCCATGTCAGTCATAGGTATAAATTGTACTGGAGTAATAATTTTCTTCGTACCTGTGAGATAAGATGTAATCTCCCTATCCTTCTTAAAACCGTCATATCTAATATCATATGAAGATATACCATCTAAATCAACAAACCAAGTGATAACTCCTATATCACCACTACCAGTAGCCTTTGCTTCAAACTTAAACCTATTCATGTCAGCGTGAGGGTACTTTTTAATGAATCTAGCCCTCTCAGCATTCTCTGCATTTTTACCAGCAACAGAATCAACATGATCGTCATCGTCTTCTTTTCCATACTTTTTTTCATAGTCTTGGTACGACCGATACGGCGACTTACCAACTTGTCCTCCACCTAGTCTCATTCTTAATAACCTAACGTATGTTATTAAGTTGAAGTTCACAATTTTACTGCAGAGCTCGCACACAGTTGTATCACTACAGAACTCAGTTCTAACAAGCAACTATAAATCAGTCTTTGTGAAGAGAGTATCAGTATTCTGGGAGTACTTCAACATAAGGGAACCAACAACTATTCTCAAAGTGAAAACAGATGATGGAGAATCTGATGTAATTGTTAATAAAGGTTACTACACATTTGACAGTATGAAGAAGTTACTTGAAAGACATGGTGTTAAGCTAACCTACTTTACTGAAACAGCAGGATGTCAAATAGAGGCAGTAAAACAAGATATCACAATAGAAACACGATTACTGACTATGGTAGGTTTTAATAGATTTTTTAATCCTATGATCCTACTGAAAGGGAGGAGTTTGGCTGGTGATAGCAAAGTTGACTTCAACAACGGTCTACGATACGTAAATATACACTGCAATCTGGTAAGTAACAGTTACAACGTTACCCCTTGGGGGAGACCCAGCGATGTGATAACAAGTGTCACAGTTCCAACAGACAGACCATTATTGGGATCGGTACTTAGTTACATTGATGTTGAAAGCAGGGCTTCGGTTGTTAAGGGTTCATGCTCAGAACTTGTCTTCCACATGACAGATCAAGACGGGAAACCTATTGATATAGGTGAAGTGCTTATCGAGATGTACCTTGAGTAGCGAGCTTACATTGGTTAATATAAGATGGACGACGATATTATGAAAGAACAGGGACTAAGGGATATTTACTACAATCCTAAGACTGGATTCCAAACACCAGAGAAACTATATCTTAGAGCAATATCAGACGGGCTTGAAGTAACCAGAAGTCAGGTCAAGAAATGGATAAATGAGCAAGACACATACACTAGGTACAGACAAGTATTTAGGAAACATAAGTTCGGACAGACGTACGTCCAAACTTTAGGTGAGCAGTTACAAATGGATTTAGTTGACATGACAAAATATGATGATCAGAACAAGGGATACCGATGGATTCTCACATCCATTGAAATACTAAGTAGGTACGTATTCACAGTACCAGTGTATAGGAAAAACGCGGGGCCAATGAAGGACGCCGTCAGTAACATTTTAGAGCAGTTTAATAATCGTTTTGGTAAATA